AAATTTATTCGCTCAAGTACCAAGTCAATTCTCACAATTTATTCACGGTTGATCTCTTATATTCATCGCATTCACACAACTTTAAGTCTCGACACTTGAATCAACATCCAAACTCCAATCACCTCACTTTTACTTACACCGATAAGTCAAGCTCACCACGACGAAATTGAATGAGACTGAATTCGAGAAATGACTTCGGGAAAAAAAGAACTTTTCAAATTGAGACGTGAATCTACAGCTATGCATGTCAGTTTTCGCTGAAACCAGATCAAAACTGATAATCCATCGCGGCACTCACCTTCTGTCTTGGTATATTACGCAAGCCCCATGAATGTCCACCTTTCGGTGGTTTCGCGTGAAATTCACCAACGTTCACATTACTAAACAACGCTTGATCGTTATCATTCAGAAAATAAAAACGATACTCCACTTTGATACGAACCTAAATCAAATAATATTACACAGACATCAATTCGTATCATTTGCATCTTCAACTTCCCTTCCATGAAACATCACAAAATTATCACATTCAAGTATTCAATTTTGCAAAATTATAATACACCCAAATCAAATCAAAAAAATCCAAAAACGAACAAAAAACTGAACAAAAACAACGGAACGAACCTCTCTGGTGGGTGAAGTGGAAGACATTTTGAGGAATAAAGAGACGTTATTCGCATTCTCTAAACGTTTACCACCCGGGTATAAACACAACTGCCAACAAGCTTCTGGCAAAGCAGCATCACGAAATATATTACTACGTAAACAATTACCAGGCAACGCCAATTTTGCTACCGTCGGGAAATTCTCTATCTGAAAAGATATCTATCAAAAAACCAGTAGCAGCTTCCACAAATACACTTTGAATTGCAGCACATTTTTGAATGCTCTGATAACTTCAAAACCAAATAAAAGAGATAAAATCTGCATGCAACACTTAAAATTTTTGCACATCACTTCAAGTGATTCTCACTCTCTCACTATCATTTTCAAAGAAAGTGTTGGGAATTGCGTTTTCTTCGACCTATACCCTAGCATAAAACTTGCATCTGGCGGAGGAATATATAATTATTCACTATTGGTGAAATCAAC